GTTGATGACCCTACATTGGCACATCATTATCAACCAAAGCTTAGAACTTACACTAGGGCTCATTCCTGGTGCTGTCCTTTCTATGGGCTTTGACAAATGTATAATGACATGTGTCTACCATAATAGTATCACACAGAACAGTTTCACTGCCCTAAAAATATTCCATACTCTGCTTATTCATTCTCACCCAAACCCCAAAAGCCCAGAGAACTCACCTTTTTACGTCTCACTGTTTTAACTTTTCCCATAATATGTGTTGGTTGGAATCATCCAATATGTGTAACCTTTTCAGACTGGCTGCTTTCAATTGACAATATGCTCTCAAGTTTCCAACATGTCTTTTCATAGTTTGATAGCTCATTTCTTTTAAGTGCCAAACAATATTCTACTGTCTGGATGAAAAACAGTTTAACTCTATTCATCCATTGAAGGAAATCTTTCTTGCTTCCTGTGGGTTCCTATGAGCTGGCCACTCATGGGTAACTGTGACCTCTCTGTTATCTGCAAATCACAGCAGAGCATTCCTGCTTGATTACCTACGGACAATAGCTGGTATCACAAGGCATGCCCAGGAACGCCTGCCCACCATGGCTAGTTACCCGACTTTCTCCATGGTGGTCTCAGGATAACCTTGCCTGTGATAACATCAGCATATATACTTGGTTGTCTCAAACCCAATTTCAGGAAATTACAAATAAAGCTGCTGTAAGTGTCTGTGTAGCTTTTCAATTCCTTTGCTTCAATATCAAAGAGCATGTTTGCTGGATCATATGATAAGAATATGTCTGATTTTGTAAGAAGCCACCAAATTGTCTACCAAAATACTATTTTGCATTCTCAACAGCAGTGAGAGTTCCTGTTGCTCCACATCCTTGCTATCATTTCATGTTGTCAGTATTCTGAAGTTTAACCATTCTAATAGGCAGGTAATAATAACTCATTATTCTTCACTTACATTTTTTTAATGACATTTTTCTTATGCTTATTTGGCATCTTTATTTTTTTTTTATTTTTGTGTAGAAGAACTGGGGTGTAGGCCAGAGGTGCTGGGGGTAAGAAGATTCACCAGAGATAAAGTGAAGAGCAAAACAAGCAGAGTGACAGAAAAACACTGCTGAGGGGAACAGCAGGCTAGTCAGGAGAGGTCTGCTGTCCCATGTGGGTTAGCTCCCTGGCCAGGGATCAAACTCAGTGCTGCAGTGGCTGTGGCTTGCTTCATAGTGCTGAGACTTAACCCGTTGAACCACCAGAGAGGCCCTGTGACTGGTTTCTTAACCTTGAGACATTTGCACACTTAGATTTTGGTTTGCTCACTTAGGCCACCAGGGCAATAAAGCCACCTGGATTAATTTCACAAATTTTAGGAAGACTTAGGGAGGCTCTGAGAAGAACTGTGGCAAAATCAGCAGTTTCCAAACTTGAGTGACGCCAATGTATATCAAACTGAAGATCTATGAGCACTCTTTGGGATTTCACTTGGCATGTCTGTGGTTGGTGCCAAGAATGTGTTCTTTGCAACTTCCTCCATGTGGTCTTACTAAGTGCAAATTTTCTTGTTGCATTCCAGTATTTCTCAAACTGGGGTATGTATCACAACCCCCTGAGGATATTATTGCTGGATAAAATACAGGATGGCCAAGTAAACATGAATTTTAGATAACCAACAGATATTTTTTATTTATTTTTTTAAAGGTTTATTTACTCATGCATATAAGAACTGGGGTATAGGCCAATGTGCAGGAGGGTGAGAGGATTCACCAAAGACAGTGGGGAACAGAACAGGCAGACTGACTGAAATACACTGCTGAGGGGAGCAGTGGGCGAGTCAGGAGAGGTCTGCCGCACCATGTGGGTAGCTCCGCAGCTGGCAAGGATTGAACCCGCACTGCAGAGGCTGCGGACAGCTTCACAGCGCTGTGCTCAACCACCTGCACCACCAGGGATGCCCCACCAACAGATATTTTTAAAAAAAATTTATTTTTGTTTATTTATGCATACAGGAACTGGGGTATAGGTCAGAGGTGGGGTGGTTGGTGAGAGGATTCACCAGAGACTGAGTGGGGAACAGACCAGGCAGATCCTCTAAACTACACTCTTGCAGGGAGCAGCGGGTGAGATAGGAGAGGGCTGCTGTTCCATGTATGTTAGCTACCTGGCCAGGGATGTAACCCATGTGGTAGTGGCTGGTGATAGATTGATAACGCTGAGACTTTAACCCCTGGACCACCCCAGGGAGGCCCCAGCAGATTAATTTTTAGTATAATCAGGCCTCCAAGACCACAATAGTTGCTGTTTTAACTTTAGAGTACTTTTTTTTTTTATAAAGATTTATTTATTGATGCATACGAGAGCTGAGGTACAGGCCAGAGGTGGTGTGGGGGTGGGGGCGAGAGGATTCACCAGAGACAGAGTGGGGAGCAGAACAGGCAGACTGACTGAAATACACTGCTGAGGGGAGCAGTGGGCGAGACAGGAGAGGTCTGCTGTGCCATGTGGGTAGCTCCCTGGCCGACTGGGGACTGAACACAGGCTGCAATGGTTACGGACAGCTTCATAGGTTGTGTCTTAACCCCTTGTGCCACTAGGGAGGCCCTAATTTTAGAGTATTTTCTCTCCAAGCATCAAAAAATACTTTCAAAACATCTAAGTTTCCAAATACAGTGTAAATCTCCATTGTGGCAGATATTGAAGATGGCTGTTTTCTTTTTTTTTTTTTTTTTTTTAAAGATTTATTTATTTATGCATACAAGAACTCAGGTACAGGCCAGAGGTGTCGGGAGTGAGAGGATTCACCAGAGACAGAGTGGGGAACAGAAGCAGATTGACTGAAGTACACTGCTGAGGGGAGCAGCGGGTGAGGCCAGCGGGTGAGACAGGAGAGGTCTTCTGCCCCATGTGGGTAGCTCCCTGGCCAGGGATTGAACTTGTGCTGCAGTGGCTGTTGACAGCTTCATAGGTTGCGTCTTAACCCCTTGTGCCACCAGGGAGGCCCCGAAGATGGCTGTTTTCTTAGGAAATTTCATGACAAACAATATACCAGTAGGAGATTATTCTTTTCATCGCTATTTCTCCTATTAACCTTTTCTAAGAATTGTCTGTGTTCTTCTGGGATCACCTGAGTAACTTATTGGGAAATAAAAAATTGATTTATGATTATACCTCATACCTCTTGTTCCACTTCCTCTCTCCTCCTGTGCAATCCCCTTTCCTTTTTCAGTCTGTATCTCTACTTTTGTCCAAGTTGTCCTCATTCAAATTTCTTGCACGACTTTCTCTCTTCCCTCCCTCCCTTTTATCTTTCTACTTTCCTTCCTACCTGCTCTCTTCTTTCCTTTCTCCTTCCTTTTCCCCACTCTCCTTCTCTCCCTCCATTTTTCCTTCCTTCCTCTTCACAAGTCTCCCCAAGCCCTTCTATGTCCAAATTAAAATCCATAGAAACAAGTTAGGGGACTAGGAACCAGCCTACAGTATTGTAGAAGGAAATTCTATTTTGTGTTCCAGAAGGAAATTCTATTTTGACAATCTTTTGCTACAGCAAGTTCATAGTCAGGGGAAAAGTGAGCTTCTTGAAACAATTGCTTTCCTGAAGACCTGTTGGGAGGGTGATGGATGGCACTGCAGTTAGAGTCTGAGAACCGCAGGAAGAGGAGGGGAGGTATTGCTAGGCAGCATGAGGGAGGAGGTGACTAGGAGAAGGAGCCAGTCAGGAAGAGCTTATGGAAGGGGTGGAGAATACACAGCCGGTATATGCTGCTTGCAAACCCTTTCTGCAGATATGGTGTCTTTGTGAGCCGACCGCAGAGGCCATGTGCATGCAGCATGCATGTGAATGCGCGGATTGCTTATTTCAGAGCTCAGGTCTCCGTGAACTGCTGACTGCCAGAAACTGGAATGCGTTGTTGAAAGGATTCTGCAGTGAGAGTGCTTGTTTGTGGTTGTGTGATTTGTGCGCCTGATTTTTTGCCTAATGCACTATTCTGATTCCAACTCTGAAAGTTTAGTGGAAGTCTGGGTGACTAAGTCAAGACACAACAAAATCAGATGTGGGGGCAACATGAGATGGAAATAGAGAAACTTACAATAAAGAGAATGATTTGGAGAAAGGGGGAAGATGAGAAAACAGGAGATAAATGATAGAAATAATAGAAATCCTTTCTTGGGAAGTTTGAGAAAAGAAATACAGGTTTCTTCCAATTGTAGGCATTGTATACCCGTCCTTCTGGTGAGATGTTTCCTGATTTTTCTCTATTTCTCTATTGGCATGGTGTATCTCACCATGCACATTATAGGTGCATTTTGGTTAGACCAGGGAGGAGATAACAATCACCCTAAAAGCAGCATTCACGCTTAGATGAGAAAAAGGTTTGTTGCTACTGTTTGGTACACAGGACAGCCACAGGACACAGCAGAGAGATTTAGCGCTGATCCGAAATTAATTGAACAGGATTAGAGAATGTCGTTGATCAAAATATGTGAACTGCATGACGTCTTTCAAAAGCAAGAGTGTTCAAATGAACTCTTTCCATATTCCAAAGATGATTATTATTACTCTTATTATCATTAACAATTGAACAGGGACCATCTCTACTAAAATGTGACATTTAACTTAGCCAGGACAATTTCTAGATCGAGATAAGTAAACGCTGAGACAGCATAACTTTGAACGTAGACGTGAGCTGGGGAGAGAAGTCTTAGTTGAAAGCATCCCAGTTTTGCTTGTTGCCAAAACACTATTTTTTTGGACAATTTCAAATTACAATGATTACGATGTTTTTCTCAGTTCTTCATTTTGCTTCATTTTCTAAACCTAAGCAATTCACAATTACAAGAATTATATTTCCATTATGACTTTAGCTGCATGTGTCAATCTGTCTTTTGTTTCATTCAGCCATCTTTTCCTCCTACTATTTTGTTCATCTGCATCTCTCCTTTGTTCTTTCCTCTTCTCCATCATGTTTTCCAAGATTTAATGAAAATGTTCATTTTCACTAATTTCCTGATCACGGTCTCCCTGATCGAAATTCTTTTTCAGGCTTGTCTTTCTCCTCATTCCTTTCTCTGGAGTCTTTGTCTCCAGCAGAGGGGGTCTGATGGTGATCGGAGGTAGGGAAAGAGGCCTGGGAGAAGCTGAGAGGGGGGAGGAAGTGGTGCTTCAGCTGTTTCTACAATCAGCCTGTAAAAGGCTGACTTAAGCTTCTCTGTAAATTCCTCCTCTCCCGCCCCACAGATCTCCCCCTCAAAGGGTCTCTCTGCTTCCCCACCTTAAATTCCACCTCCCCCACACCCTCCTCGATTTCCCGGGTGACATCACTCTCCACCAGCTGTGACTGCCAGGGACACTGACCTATTTTTGCCTGTTAGGTACTCAATCCTGGTTTCTCCACTAGACTTGATTTTTCTGCTAAACTCAACTCTTTGCACCTCAACATGTCAGTGTGTCCCTTTTGAAAACTCAAACATTTCTGTCTCTGCTAAGATAATAGTTTCATATTTAGTATCTGATCTTTGAGAGAAAGTATATGTGTAATAATAGTTTCAATGATGGGGCCTCACTGGTGGCTCAAGGGGTTAAGTGTCAGCACTATGAAGCTAACTGCAGCCACTGCAGCACGAGTTCAATCCCTGGGCAGGGAGGTCACCCACATGGCGCAGCAGACCTCTCCTGTCCCACCCACTGCTCCCCTCAGCAGTGTATTTCAGTAGATCTGCCTATTCTGCTCCCCACTGTCTCTGGTGAATCCACTCACCTCCCCCCCCTACCTTCTGGTCTACACCCCAGTTCTTGTATGCATAAATAAATCAATCTTTTTTTTAAAAAAGTTTCAATGACTTTAGTAAATTCATTTTAAATTTCTCTGATTTTTAGTTTTTTAATTAAAATGGAATCTGGGGCCCCCCTAGTGGTACGAGGGGTTAAGATACAGCACTATGAAGCTATCCCCTGCCACTGCAGCATGATATCTGGCCAGGGAGGTGACCCACATGGCACAGCAGACTTCTCCTGTCTCGCCTGCTGCTCCCCTCAGCAGTGTATTTCAGTAGATCCACCCTGTTCTTCTCCCCACTCTGTCTCTGCTGAATCCTCTCACCCCGCCCCCCCATCTCTGGCCTGTACCCCAGCTCTTGTATGCATAAATAAATACATATTTTTTAAAAATGGAATCTGTGTATTTGAAGAAGAATACATTTAGGAATTTTTGGTTGTACGCATGATTAATGAACTCTTTCCTTTGTGATAAATTCTAATGTATATTATGTATTTAAAGATTGTATATGATATTGAAGATATAAGCAGCAGGCAGTAATATTTCAATAAAACTTTACCAAGAATGGAGGGAAACTGTAGACAAAATCAATGTAATATACTTTGTGGAGGAATTATAAATGGTTAAGAGTGTGTATTTTGCTGCTTGTTTTCAAATCATGGCTTTACCAGCTGTGTGATTTCAGACAATTTGCTCAGTGTCTCTGACTCATTATGCTTAGTTGCAAAAATAAGAGACCTTTAGCTATTTATATATGTGAAAGTTATGAGAATATTCCACTTTCCTAAGATATGTTAATTTTATTACTAGACTGGGGACTGTTTTCTATATATGTTCCAAATGATACTATAGTAATTTCCTCATGCCTAAGCCTTCATTTGCCATTTATCTACTATGTAGAATTATGGATCTTTTATCTGGACTTTAGTAGTCTGCCCCAAGTCATACAGAAAAGTTCTGGCACATAAGTGAAAATAACGGGAAGTTCTGTGTTATGGGTTTGCCTAGTGATTCCACTGTCTCACTCTCCATAGTTCAGGTTTTCAAAATTTCCTTTTCACTTTACCATATTCTCTGACTTTATTTCATCCTGTTATGTTGCGCCGGGCAACACTACACTGACAAAGATAAGGGAGTCGTGGAGCAGGCTACATAATGCAGGATGCTGCTCGAGAGCAAGATTCTGGCCGTTTTTATTGATAGAATAATCATACAGCATCAGCTACCTGTGTTAGGAGGACAAGGAGAAAGGATGGGTGAAACTCAGGAATGTCATCTGGGGCTTGGGGGGGGACATGAGTCTGCTGACCATGTGATCAGCTTGATGACCAAGTGTTGTCATCGAAACTGGATCCTAGACCCCCAGCCATGGTCCTAATCTTATCAATAAGGCATTCCACTGGTCAGCTTCTGGGGTCCCTTGTCATATATTGGTCTTCGGCCCCCTGGGCCTTCCCAGTCTTACCTCATGATGTATGAGTTGGGAGTAGGTTTATGCATCTGTCATCAGCTCCCTGGGCATTCCGGTTCATACCTTGTGATGCATATCCTTCCCAGAGTGATCAAGCTTTCTGCTCTTGATTGATTTGAAAGTCACCTTGTAAGGTTTGCCTCATATGACTGATTGACTGGGCAGTTCTGACCTTTGTATAAGGATGCAGAACTGCAGGTAACCATAATGGTGGCTGAACAGGCCACTTAAGTCTAGCAGACCCACACTGTTAGGATGAAACTCAGATTGAAAAGCAGTGAGAAAAACAAGAAAAATCAAGGAAAGGATTAATTTGGGGATTCAGGTGCAACTGATATAAGAAAAGGAGGAAATAGGAAAAGTCAGGACATTTGGGGATTCAGTTGCAACTGATATAAGAAAAGTAGGAAATAGGAAAAGTCAGGAAGATTTACCAAAAAAAGCCAATCTAGTGCAATGATTGAGATGTGCTTGAAAAACAAGAGAGCAAAAAACTTTTGAAAAATAAAACAAAGTAACAGGGAAGGTAGAATTTTGGACAGAAGCTAGGTAACCTACCTGTGGGGAATGGGAAAAAGTCTTGTGACTGATGATATCATTTTCCTTTGGGAAATGAAATGATTACCTCATTGGTGCTGACCAGAAAATTCCATAGTGGTCAGTTAGGACTGTATTCTTGGAAGAGGCTGAAATTGCTAGGGGGGGTAGAATGGGGGTAGGGTAAGAGACGCAAAAAACCCCACAGTTATTAAGACGCGGTGTGCATAGCACAAGTGCCTCCATTTTGGGTCTACTGGATGAGCACACAAAATTTGTTTGGGTTTTATTTTGGTTTTGGCATTGTATCTGATTCCCTATTGCTTTGATGCACTGTGGTTTGCACTGGGAAGAAGGAGAAATATGGTTTGTTGTGAGGGATTAGTTCATCAATCTCAATATTCTCTAAGTCCTTCTGAAAATCTTCCAGAAGCTCTTACAAAGCTCTTATTTAAGGGGAAAAAATAGGACAGAATAGATACAAATCTCTCTGATTCTTTGCACTGAGAATAATTATATGAACTAAGACTAATGAACAAGGTTTTCTAGTCTAACTGTTATAGGGCAGCCCCGATACAAAACGGGGTGCCTGACTGTGAGTCCTCACCCGCATGCTTAAAAGGACTTACTAATGCTTTACTGCAGGCACACACGAAAGGTTAATAAAAGGTTTATTTACAAGGGAAGGGCAAATGAGGAAATGTACAGCTCAGGGAGAAAAATGGGAGACAAAGTTTTAAATGCGTCCTACCCGATCCACCGATCTGGAATCCCAAATGGCACTCTGAGAGCTGGCCGCGAGCCAGGAGCCGTGAAGCCAGGAGGCGAGCCACAGAGCGAGAGCCCCACGGCCCACGTGTTTGGTTTTTATACCCAACCTGGCTGCTTAACTCCACCCTCAGGTCCCAGCCACCTTCCCTTTGGTGGTGACGGGATTTGTCTTTCCCAATGTCCTGATGGCTTTGGTCTGGAGTGGGGGTGGAGTCCACAAAGCCTGTATGGGATTAGCGCAGGACATCCTTTCCCCCTAACATAACTTTTTAAAAATGCAACAGACAGCAAACTTAACCAGGACAATCATGGAGTTGACAGGGCATGAATATGCTCCCAGAATTCATTCATTCATTTGTCAGAGTATAGGGGAAAATCTACTCCTCTGGGTTTTCTCCCACTGAACATGTAACCACCAGCATGAGAGGTGTCAGCAAAGAAAAGTCAATTTAGTAATTGTGCATTTAATAGTTGTGCATTGTGCAAGGGGAAGCTCATTTTGGTCAGTGAGAAAGGGGTTTAAGTCTCTGGCTAAGAGTCATGGGGTGGGGCACCAAGGACTAAGGAGGGGGAGGCTGCACATGACAAGGAGAGTATGACTTCATCTTCACTTTCAGCATAAAAAGATGAGCTTTACTGGTCACTGATAAACCTCCACCTGGATGATATCTCCCCAAACCACATTTTTCTATGTTATTTATTAAACAACAGTGGGGTGCTCCCTGGTGGTGCAAGGGGTTAAGATGCAGTACTATGAAGCTATCCGCAACCACTGCAGCACGAGTTGAATTCCCCGCCAAGGAGGTGACCCATATGGTGCAGCAGACCTCTCCTGACTTGCCCGCTGTTTCCCTCAGCAGTGTATTTCAATCTGCCTGTTCTGCCCCCCCACTCTGTCTCTGGTGAATCTTCTCTCTCACACACACACATCCCCTCCCCATCACTGGCCTGTACCCCATCTCTTGTGTGCATAAATAAATAAATCTTAAACAAAAATAAAAAGAACAGTGATTCTTCTTCCCCATTTAGGGAAGGATAAAAGACTGAGGGAAGCAGCAGAGCTCCTCCTCACCCTCCAGGGTCTTCATTACTTTCAAAAGAATTTGCATTCTTTAAGTAAAGGACATTGATTAACTAAAGTTCCATGTACCAAGGTGATAGTTTTTAGAAAAAGACACTGTACACATTGGTCAATGCCTATTTGACCCTTAGGGGAGCTGTATCCCACACATTCATTCACTCAATTTGTAAACGTGTGTTAAGTATTTTGGGCACTGCTCATGACTCAGATATGTGACAGACCCACATGACTCATGTGTGGTTTGAAATGTCTACCAGTTCAGTCGTGAGGGTGGGAAGGGGTGTGTCCTATTGATTTTTCCCTTTTTACAGTGTGCCTCCATTATTTTTTTAAAAAAGATTTATTTTTATTTATGCATACAAGAGCTGGGGTACAGGCCAGAGATGTGGGGGGGGGGGGCGGTGAGAGAACCCACCACAGACAGAGTGGGGAACAGAACAGGCAGACTGACTGAAATAAACTGTGAGGGGAGCAGCGGGAGAGACAGGAGAGGTCTACTGTG